TAGGCGGTAGCCTATCGATTCGTGATTTATAACGTTAGGATGAGACGCATAGAAGATTTACACATTTATGCTATGTACCTTGGAGGAATGTGGATCTGTACCCTGTTTAAACAATTTGGGTAAGGATAGGAAGTTGCTCAATACCACTTCCGTGTTGCCTAATTGGAATTTTAAAAGAGTTGTAATTGGAATTTTAATATTTATTTTATTGTTTTCATCATTTATTTTATTTGCGTTTGGTATTTATGTGGCGAGGTGTTTTTCTGAATTAAATTAAGTGTTGGGTGAATTTAACTTTTTATGAACTAAATTGATTTGTTAATTGTTTTGTTTTTATTTGTTTTATTTTTAATTGATTTAATTGTTGAATTTCTTAAACAAGGGTTTTATGTTTGAACGTTGTCGACTTAGGGTTGGTGTAGGATTGGAATTAGGGTTTTTGTCTCTAATTTTACATAGACTAGGATTGTTGTTTGGAGCCTATAAATACATAAGAATACTGGGGTTTAGGGTTTTAGAAACCGTAAGCAGAAGTCTGTAAACAGGGAGAATTACAGAGAGAGATAAAGGGAGGAAGTCTAGGGTTTTGCCTTAGGTTAGGGTTGAACCAAGGAGGAGGAGGAGCAGTGGTTGGCTCGTGGATAAAACCAAGAGCAACAGAGGTGGAACAGTCGTCGGAGATTTCATCGGGAAAAAAACTTAGAAGGATGGCAACAGAGTTTTGAATCCAAAATTGTAAAGGCAAGTTCTGTTCTTTCTCTCTCTCGTTGGCCTGTGTTCTGTGCATCCTTAAATAATCTCTAGGGTTTCTAAATTGATTATTAAATTGAACCTCACATGCTTATTATATGTTAAATCAATTATTTTGTATGCGTGAATTAACTTTGTTACAGTTCATGCAAGTGTGGTTTGGTTACAGTGTTTGTTTCTTCCTAAGCATGGTTAATTGGTAAATGTTCTAAGGTTTTTGTTTAAAGCAAACTGACTTAAGTAAGGGGTGGGATGATTCTAGACATACTTAGGACTCTTAGGAAGAGTTTTAAAAACAAATAGAAGGAGTGGAAGTGGCTGGGGTCGAAGCAGATCATCGGAAACGAAGAAGGAAGGGGAACAGTGGGCTCAAAGGAGGAGAGAGCCAGCTCCAGGAAGTTTGCAGGTGGCTCCAAAGTATTTTGGAGGAGGCTCTAAGCACTTTGAGCCTGCTCCAAAAGTTTTTGGAGCAGGTTCTCTTCAAATTGGACATTTTGATGTTTTTTTTTACGAACTGTGGTTACTGTTTGAGCATGGGAACTGTTCTGATGGTTTTGGGATTTCATAGAGGAATTAGGAAGTTGATTTTGGGTGTTATTAAGACCTTAAATTGATTAAAGTTGACCTCTAAGTCAATGGGACAAACAGTATGAAATTATTGAACTTTCTACGCTGTTAACGGATAGGAAGGACTAAATTGCTAAATCTTGTTTTAAAAGTTTAACGGATTGTAGCATGGACTCTAAACATGATATTAGGCTATACTAGAGCCACATTAAATAAATTAATGTCAATCTAATTGGGTTTAACCGTAGGGAAGTATATAGCGGTACAGGCGGTTAACGGGTGGAAGGAGTTTTATTGCCTAATTTAATTTTAGCAATTTAACAAAATAAGTATATATTTATAAATCTTATGTTGGTTGCACACTGGGATCATTTATTTAACAAGGTTGGTCTAGGCTTAACTTGGATGTTAATGGTTGAAATACTAAATTCTTTTTTGAAATGCATGGATTTAAGCTTGGAATTTTAATTGTTGTAATATTAAGCATTACACTGCAATTATTTGGATTAGGGTTTGGACTTAGATTGCTGAACTAGTACTTAGGTTTTGTCAATCTAATTGGGTGTTGGTCTAGAATTAATTGAAGAATTAATTATATATATTTTCTATCAATTACTTGGATGGATGCTGGATAATTAACTTGATGAACTATTATACCTTGTCTTGTTAGTTACGTGGATGGATTCTGGATTATAGATGATGAACTGTTTAGATTCTGTTTATTATCTATTTGGATTATATGGATGTGTTTGATGTACTGTATAAAATGTTGCATCATTTGTGGATCATTTGCATTATATGTACCAGTATGGGACGGTGACATATCAGGGATGGATTAGATCAAAAAGCTAAGTCCTACCCCTTCATACATATGGAATGGATTAACTAAAACAGTTAACTCCTACATGGATGCATGTCCTGTCAACTAAAACAGTTGAACGACATAACAGATGGTTGTTTATATTTTCTGTTAGTAGAATGGATAGGGATTTAATTAAAACACTTAAATCCTAATTTTATGTTGTGTCATGGCAACGAACTGTTGAGCGGCACTACATTGGTTTGGATGGAATTTATATATATAAACTATGGTACCACGATCTGAGCTTGAGTCTCATAGTCGACGGTTAGGGAGCGTATATGCAGTAGGATGCGTAGCTAGCTATGCTGGTTGAGGTATACCCTGTTAGGCTTAGGTAATCATGTCCACTCAGTGCGTTTTTGCATGTTGCCTTCTTTTCAGGTTGAGACCCTCAGCATAGCCTAGTGAGAGTCTTGTAATGTGGTTATATGTATATATCTATTTACGGACTATATAGATATGGTTGAGATATTTAGGATGTATCTGGGTATCGGGTCTTTGTTTGGATTGTAGTTAGGATAGAACTTATTCGTGGGCTTGACCCACTATTATTTTTCAGGTGACGGATGGTAACAGGTCTTAGAGTTTGTTCGTGCTGAGTAGAGACGACTATTCACTCTACCGATGACGTAGGTGATTCCTGTATGGTTTAGCATTGGATTCCTTTCCGGTGGTTCATTTCTCAGTGTAGGTTTTATTAGGGGTCTACCAGATGGATTCCCAAGTTGTATTAGATTTGGAGAAGTTGGATGTATCAGAATAATTCTTTATTTATTAAATTTTATTATGAGGTTTTCAGTTTTGGATTATCATTCTAGTTTCTTTCCAACAGTTTTTATTTATTCCTGTTTATCTTAATTGTATTCTGTGTTCATTTATTGCTAATTGGTTTGATATCCTCGGGTAATCGGGCGTGGGCCTGGCCAACCCGCATCCAGGAATCCGGGGGTATCACAGATTTGATGAAGATACAGGAGAGATAAATACTACTACAGACCCCGCCATGGGCACTTTTAATTTTGAAATAAGCCCTACCCATTCACCCTCTAACGCAAGTACCCCCTTTTTTCTGAAGCGAGGTTCATGCTTTCTCTTTCTCCCCCCCCCCCCCCCAAATTTTGAAGATACAAAAACACCTAAGTCTGCAGCTCTTTTTTTATTTATTTTTATTATTTTTATTGCAGATGCCGAGGCAGCTGCGTCTGATGTTGCCAAGGTCACTGCTAATTTCGAAGATCATCATTCCGGTCGTGAGGGTGAAGATAGCGACACAGACTTGGTCGTGGTTACCCATATACTTCCTCGGGAGCCTATTGCCAAGCTACAGCAAATGGTAAAAATGACTATCAAATCCCTTCCTGCTGTTGAAGTAGATAGTTCAGATGAATCAAGAAGCTCGAGTTTTAGTGAATTATCCCAGGGTGGGGCTTCAGGGTCATATGGCTCGAGGGCAATCGATGATAGTTCGATCCAGCAAGCCTTAAATGAGGAGACCACTGAGAGAGGAGGCCAAATATCAAATGAGGGGAGGGCAGAAGGAATTTCTGCGAGGCCAGAACAAGCTATGGATGCTCCTTCGCTTGTAACGTGGGGTGGAACTGTCATTTCCTCTAGTGAAGCCAGAGTTCTAGACGAGGAAAATGCCAAACATCCCCAGACCTTTGGAAAACTCGAGGGGGCAATACCCTTCTTTTTGGACTTTGTGTATAAGATTATATGCGAGTTAGTAGTGACCCTCCTCGAGGCCAAATAATGCTCTTTAAATGGGAAAGAGATCGAGTCTTTAGACCGCCTTCTTGCTAACTTAAAAAGGGCCCAAGTCGAAGTGGGCTGGGCCGAGGACATACTCGTGCGACTGAAAGCCTTTGGAGAGCAAGAGAAGATGTTGGAGGAGATCAAGGACTTACGTGATCAAGCGGAAGTCGAGAGACGAGCACTTCGCAGTGAGAAGGCCCGTTTGGCCGAACTTCAAGAACAAGTGAAATTGAGGGAGCATCATATTGCCGCCTTAAATAGTGAGGTCGAGCGCAAGTCATCGCTACTCGGTCCTGCTGTTCTAAACCTGGGCGATTTGCCCTAATGTTGTAATACCTTGTAATGAGAACTACTTGTATTATTCAAGGGTGATTGTGTATGGTGCTCTATTAATGAATCGTTCTCTTGTTGACTTATTTTACCGTTCTTAATTTTTTATTTTTTATTTATTTTTATATTCCAGCAGTATATTGTGAAATTATCATAGATGACCTCTGCAAGGGGTGAGGTAAAGCAGAAGTTATAAATGGCCTTCACCAGCGACGAGGTAATTAGAAATGACCTCTACCAGAGACGAGGTAATTCAGAGGATAAATCAGGAAAAAGCATCATGTATTCAGTTATTAGAAATATGCGGGAATGTACAGGGTCCCTCAGACCCTTTTCATATATTTTTTATTGCGAAAGTAGGGTCGAGGCTTAGGGGCCTCTCACAATCACAGGAGCCTTAGGAGGCTTACAACTAGGAATAGTACTTCTTTAACCACTTCGCATTAAATGTGCCCAAAATCTTGTTGTTGCCTACTCTCCCAATTTCATAATATCCACTGGGATTTGTAGCCCTGACCTCGAAGGGACCTTCCCACTTTAGAGTGAACTTTGGTGCAGCTAGGTTCCGCATCACATGAATCGTAGATTGCAAAACTAGGTCACCTTCTTGGAACGCTCGAGGCCGAAGAGTGGCATTGTAGGCCCAAACTACCCTTCTCTGGTAAACCGCGATCTTGTCCCTAGCACGCTTTCGCTGCTCCTGGAGTCCCTCGAGCTCCCCAACCCTGGGGTCGAACTATGGCTGACTTTGCTCGGCTAAACTCCCAGAGGGAATCACTATCTCAATTAGGAGTACCGCTTCTGTACCATATACCAGGGATAAGGGCGTAGTACCAGTGGTCCCTCTTGTGGCAGTTCGGTATGCCCAAAGTGCAAGCGGTAGCTGCTCAGCCCACTTGTCATGCTGTTCCTTTAAAGTTCTACTCAAGATTCGGATGAACGTCTTGTTAGTGGCTTCTGCCTGTCCGTTGCCTTTTAGATAATAAGGCGTCGACTTATGATGTGCCATTTGATATCTCCGAAGAAGTGCACGAACCCTGCTGTTGACAAAGGGGGTTCCATTGTCTGATATAATGACCCGAGGTACACCGAAGCGGCATATAATACTTTCTTTGATGAAATTCGCTACTACTTGTCCAGTTGCCGTTGACAGGGCAATGGCCTCAACCTACTTGGTATAGACTTCTGTTGCCATCAATATCCATTTCTTCTTTCTGGCTTTGGGCGAAATTTGACCTATCAAATCCATGGCCCACGTGTGGAATGGCCAGGGGGCGTCCATGGAATGTAGCTCAACTGCTGGAGCATGAATGGCATGACTATGGACTTGGCATTCTCGGCACTTTCGGACACAATCTCTGCTGTTAGTTTGCATCGTGGGCCAATAATAGCCCAGCTGTATAAGACGATTATACGATTTTTTCCACCCTTGGTGCTCGTCTTCATGAACTGTTTCAAGATTTCGCGAGCTTCGGCAGAGTTGACACATCGCTTGGCCTTGCCATCAAAGCCTCGCCTCATTAATTCACCGTTACATATGAAGAACTGCCTTGCTTCCTTCCTCAGGAGAGCGGCCTCTTCGCGGTCCTATGGGAGCGACCGTTTTTTAAGGTATTCCACATATTTTTGTCTCCAATCTTCTTCAACACTAGCCATACACTAGGCTTCCTCGAGCAGCTCTTGGCATTTTGGGCATGCTTTCTGTATAGCGGCTGCATCATTTGCCATTGACGACCAGTAGTATCCTTGCCTTTGCACTCTCCGGTAGAGGCTCAATGAATTATCGCGACACGCATGCCCATGGACTTTGTTCAGCACTCAGCCAACCTCCTGACTTCCAACACATCTTGCTAAAGTTCCATCGGGTGTTCTGAAGTATAGCACCCCCAAATACAATGCGAAATTTTTGAGTTCCAACAAGGGAATTTCGCTCATGCCGCCCTTCAACTGCGACTCGTACGGACCCTGCCAGTCCTCCTCGTCTTTTTGGTCAGTGAATTCTGCATCGTGCAACCATGACTCGTCCTTTTTGTGAATGCGGATATCTACTGATTCTCCCGTAATCTCAACTTTAGATGCCAAAGTAGCCAGTGCGTCTGGATGTCGGTTAGCTGTTTGAGGCGCATGAGTTATACGGAGTTCATTAAAGTAGTTGCTGAGTTTCTGAATGATTATTCTGTATGCCACCAAAGCCGGCTCCTTGATAGCATAGGAACCATCCAGCTGTTTTATCACCAAGTTCGAGTCACCTTGAACATGTAACCGCTTGATCTTAGCTTCCCATGCTACCAAAAGGACAAACACTAGGGCTTCATATTCCATCGTATTATTGGAGCATCCGAAGGTGAGCTTGTACGAAAGATTTTGGGCTCTCCCCTCTTCGTGGGTTAACACCACCCCTGCGCCACCTCCCGTAGAGGTTGACAACCTGTTAAATGACAAAGTCCCCATCATATTCTCATCCGCACAACAGAGTGACTCAAATTCGTCGTAAGGAAGGTCGTCATGCACCGGCTCAAAATTACCAGAAGGAAATTGAGCTACCAAATCAGCCATAGCTTGGCTTAGAATGGCACAAGGTGCGAGGCATTGAATATCAAACTCGGCCAGCATCAGGAGCCACCGAGCCACTCGCCCTGAAATGATTGGTCGTGAAAGCAAGTACCGCAATCGGTCATACTTAGTGATGAGGTGGATGGTATGGGCCAGGAAATAATGGCAAAATTTCTTAGCTACAAATACCAGAGACAGATAGTGGCGCTCTATCAGAGAATAGCACGCCTTGACGCCTTATACAACTCAACTGATATAATACACAGGGCATTCACGGCCCTCTTTTTTATCAGCAAGAAGCACCCTAATGGAATGCTCAGTTAACGTGATGTAAAGCTTGATAGGGGATCTGTAATACCCCTAATTTTAAAAGGATAATCCTGGCATTTAATTTAATTATTTAAGTGCGTTTTTACTAAATTGTTTGTTTAATTGTTTATTTGTTTATTTTTTTCATTGAATTGTGTGTTTTATTTATTTGTTTTTATTTAACTAGCATTTTGTTTAATTATTTTGTGACTGATTTAATTATGTGTTTATGTGACTATTTAAATAAATTGTTTTTTTAAAAATTAACTGTTGTCCGTGTTTTGATTAATATGTATATTAGATGTAGGGTTTTATTTTAGTTTTTAGTTAATCATATGAGGGTTTTAGCCGACTTAGGGTTGGTTTTGTATTAGAATTAGGGTTGTGCTGAAGCCTATAAATATAATATTATACGTTGGTTTAGGGTTACAAACAAAACCCTACTCACTACGGTGAGACGAAGAGAACTTTGAGAGATTTCTAGAGAGGTTCAAGGGTAATTGGACGGAGTGCTTCCGGGTTGAACCAAGAGCACCAGAGGTGTAAAACATGAGTCTCAGACGTGGACGGAAGTTTTAGAGACGGTGGTTTAGAGTTTCAAAACTCAAACTCAAGGCAAGTCTCTATTCTATTCATTCCCTTTAATTCGTGTTATGTGCATGCCTAGTTAGACTCCAGGGATTAATCAAGTATTAAAACAGATTAAATTGAAATTGATATTAATCTTGTAAGCATGTTTGAAACAATTTTTAAATCGTTGCATAAATCTGTTTCGTGTTGAATGTTGTTCTCACTTAAGATTCTGTTTGCATTGGTTTTAATCTTGCTTAACCTTGGTATATTTGGGATTGGATGCATACTTATAATTAATTCTAGGACATTAATTGAACCCTGAAATAAGTTATAAAAACTATACAGTGACCCTGAACTTCGCCGGAGACGAAGAAGACGAACAGGTTAGGGGATACGGCTCACCAAAAGAGGGAGCCAGCTCTAGGGCTTGTAGAGCCGGCTCTACAAGGGGTAGAGCCAGCTCCACATGAGGTGGAGGGGGCTCCACCAAGGGAAGAGCCGGCTCTTTTGTTTTAGGAGGCGGCTCTACCCTCTTTTCTTCAGTTTTTCGAGTTCTGGGTTTGGTTTGGACTGTGGGAGTTGTTTCTAAATGGTTCCAGTGACTGTGAATGAGATTTATATCTGTTATAGACTTGTAAAAACTCTTAGGAAGCATGTTGATGTTAATATGTTGCAACAGGAAATAATATAAGGTTAAACAATAAACCTGTACGTGGAAGGTTGCATTATACATTGAAGCTTATTGTTTTTCTAAAGCAATTTTGGTTTATTCACATGATTTTAAACTGTTAATCATATCTCAACTGTGTTATAATATATAGTTATTTATCTGGAAAAATAAGTATGTTTAAATGAAAATTAATTGATGTTTTAAAATCGACTGTATATTGCATCAGTTATGGTACTGTTTGGAGGAGTTATATACATAGTCCTACGTTGTAAATTTGAAGGACTGGAATAGGATTCTAAATCTTATATGTGAAGTATAATTTGATCATACACATATTAAACTGTATTTATGCTAATTCTGGAGTATGGTTGATAAGTATCTGTTACTGTTTTGTCAACTTTGTTAACTGGAGGATTGTGTGTACCGGTATGGGACAGTGACATACTAGGTATGGACTAGTTCAAACACTAAGTCCTACCTAATTTGGATTAAGGTACGGATTAACCATATAGGTTAAGTCCATCACCTACTTGTGTCATGTCAACAAAATAGTTGAATGACTTAATGTGGTTTCAGGATGGATGATTATACATATATCAGACCACTACATAGGTGGATGGTATTTTGTATTAGGAGGAGTACGGACTTTATATATTTATTATATGGTGACATGGTATGAGCTTGAGTCTCAAGACCATGGTTAGGGCGCGTGTATCGCCTAGGATGAATAATTGGACATAGGTGTTGTTCCCTGGTAGGTCTAGGTACACATGACCACATTATGTGCGATTTGCATGGTATCTCTACTCAGGCTGAGATAAACCTATTGGACTAGCGAGCGTCCTATAGTGTGTACTATTTATACATATGGACTACTCTAGATATTGTTAGGCTATCTAGGATGTATTTGCATATCGGATTACTGTATGGATTGTAGTAGAATAGGACTTACATGTGGGCCTGACCCACTCTTTTATTTTTTAGGTGTTCGTTAGTTCCAGGGTTAGAGCTTGGACGTGCAGTGCAGATACAGACATTCAGTCCTCCGACTACGTAGGAATCCTTTCTATGTTTAGCTTTAGATTCTATTTATGATGTTTTAGTTTCTATTGGGATTTTTATTAAGTGTTCCACTAGATGGATTCCTGAGTTGGTAAACTTATGGAGTTTTGGAGTATCGGATTTTAATAATTATATTTTGAGGATTTTAAATTAGCATTCCTTCAGTTTAATATTTTTATTTCTTATTTCATTTTGTATTCTATGTTTGGTTACATATTGATTGTTCGATATTCCCTCGGGTTTGGGCCTGGGCCTAATCAACCCGTGTCTCGGATCCGAGGGGTATCACAGACTCCTGACTGAGGAGCTATTATTGTAACTGGCAAAGATAATAACTTCTTAAGTCAGTCAAATGCTTGTTGATGCTCCTCATTCCATCGGAACTTGGATTTTCCCCTTATCAGGCCGCCAAAGACATATGTGACCTCGGCAAGGGCCGGTATGAATCGTTACAGGTACGATACCCGTCCTACCAGACTCTTTAGCTATTTAAGAGATCGTGGAGGGGGTATTTCTATGATAGCCTGTACTTTGCTTTGCTCGATACCCTGCCAATGCACCATAAAACCCGGGAACCGACTGACCTCTACCCCGAAGGCGCATTTCAACGGATTCATTCTCAGCTTAGACCTTCAACACCTTTCGAAGACATTTCTTAAATCAGTTAAGTGCTCACTTTTGACTTGCGACTTTACCACCAAATCGTCCACATAATCTTCCATTTATTTCTGCAACATGTCGTGAAAAATTGCCGTCATGACTCGCTGGTAAGTAAACCCAGCATTCTTTAAACTAAAGTGCATAACTGTGAAATGGAAGTTCCCCATAAGAGTGCAGAAAGCCATCTTCTCTGCATCACATTGTGCCATTCTTATGTGATTGTATCCATTATATCCATCCATGAATGAGAACATCTCGTGTCCCGCAGTCGAGTCGATTAAATTATCAATTATGGGCAATGGAAAGTTATCTTTCGGGCAAGCCTTGTTTAAGTCCTTGAAATCGACACAAACTCTAATCTTCCCATTTTTCTTCTTTATCGGGACGACATTTACCAACCATGTAGAGTGCTGGATAGGCTTGATGAAACCAGCTTGCAACAATCTTTGTACTTCCTCATTGATTTGCAACTCGAGCTCTGGACGAAAGCTCCTTTGCGCCTGCTTAACTGGGCGTGCATCTGGTCATACGTTAAGATGATGAGCCACTACCTGGGGGTCTAATCCAGGTATCTATTCGTATGTCCAGGCAAAAACATCTTCGAAGTCCTTGAGTAAGTCTATTAATGCCACATTCTCATTCCTTTCCAATCGCTTACACACATAGACTACTCGGGAGCAGCCATCATTGGCTAGATCAATCTCATTTTGTTCCTCTTAACTGGGCCGAACTAACTCGGTTGATTCCACTTTTGTTTCCTCTTTGAAGTTTGGTAACTCTACTTGACATGACTCTTCTCGGGTGTGCGGTCTCACCCGAGGTCATGCCCCCCAACACCATCATAAGCGGTAGGCAATCCTTCTGTCAGATAAATGCTCCCTTTTGCAGACAGCTGGCTTCTTCTGATTGGCAGTCATTCCTGGCATTTTTTTCTTCTCCTGTTGGTCAATCTCTTCCCATTTCGGTAAAGGTATAGTTGTCAACGGCTAAGGTTCTTCCACATCCTCTAGCTCATTAAAGAATCCAGCCTCCACTATATGAAACTCTCTTTTAGTAAACGGTCGATCGGAGCAACGGACCATAACTTGCTTCCCATTCCAGAACCTTTTCATGCATTGATGATACGAAGAAGGGACAATCCTAAACTTATGCATCCAAGCTCGACCCATGAGCAAATAGTAAGAGGTGTCTGAATCAATGACATGAAACTTAACTGAACCCTTGAACTTTCCAATGGCCAGCTCGGTTGTCACGTGCCCTTCGATCCTCCGGATATTACTTCCAAACCCAGCAATCTCAGTTGGCTTTCGAATAAGTTTCTCGTCTGGGAGTCCACTGTGGCAAAAAACTTCTAAAGGCATGATATTGAGAGACGAACCATTGTCCATAAATGCCCGTTTGAGCTCAACCCCATTGAGCGAAGCCGTAACATACAATGGCCTGTTGTGCGTGGTAGGGACATATTTATCCTCCTCAGTAAAGACTATGGCTGACCCAGGTGACCTTTGTGGTACAGGGAGTGATATGATTGATGCAACTTCCTTAACACCTTCCTTCGCTGCTAGCCACATAAACTTAGTTATTTCCTTCTGAGCAAAAGGAGAAAAATCCATCTTTTAGAGAATGCTTTTGACAGGAGCCGTTTCCAACAAGCGAAATGCATTGAGGTCATCTCCCTTAACCAGCGCGACCTGGGTAATACCATCCTTGACCCCTTCCCTATCAACTGCCTCGCCAGATACCATCATCGCGACACCTCGATCATATGTTGGGAAAGCTTCCTCCCTCACATCCCTGGGAGGGAAAATAAGCTCACCATTAGCAATCCGTCTGTGGAAAGTATTTCGCAAAGCCCAACAGTCGTAAGTAGGATGACGAGTATGCCGATGATGCATGCAGTATTTGGGATGGGCCATTTCTTCTGAAGTGGGCTTGCGAGTAACCTCGGGCAGTCTGATGTCTCTATGTTGGATTCATTTCTTAAGGATAGTTTCTACTTCTTCTGGAGTGCATGGGAACGGGGGAGGCACTTCGCCTGGATTCTTTGTTCGAGGAGCATAGGTTGGCCTCGCGTTTTTCTTACTAAGAGGCTCGTCTGCGGCCGAAACTTGGGGTCTACGCCTACCCCGGTACTCTTCTTACATAGCACCCTGCGCACAAATAGCGAGGTTACTTGCCGAATTCTGAGATGCCTCTATCAGATCGGCAAAAGTAAGGAGCTTCAGATTAATGAGATGGATTCGGTAGGACCCCTGCATGCCCTGAATGCAAATCGTAGCTAGCGACTCTTCTTCATGTGTTTCATAGCATTCCATAGTGATGAGCACTGAAAAATGCGCATTTAAACCCGTTAAGCTTAAGCATTCTAGTACCTTTATCTATCTTACTTTGCCGTTTTAGACTTATTACGTGTTATTTATATTTTCAGGCACTAATCCCAAAATTGAGCTAACTCAGCCAAATAAGAGCTTAATTGAAGCAATCCTGAGATAAACCAAAGGAGGGAGCAAAGTGGAGAAAGAAAGGAGCAAAAAGGAATCAAAGTTGTGCAGCTGAAAAGTTCGATCGATCCAACTTAGAGTTCGATCGATCGAACATCTATGATCGATCACAGTACTTCTCGATAGATCCAACCTTGGACTTTGCTGAAATTCCAAGTTCGATCGATCCAACATCACCTTCGATCGATCGAACCTTATTTTGTCCTATTCAAATGATTGATCTTATCCACAGCTGTACGCCTACCAACCACTTTTGTCCTTTTCCCCATAAATATCTTCGAAATATCTCAGCCTTGTCCTTATCCGGAGGAGTCAGACCACTTCGATTGATCTAAGATGCAGTTCGATCGATCGAACCCATCTTCGATCGATCCAAGTTAAGGTTCGATCGATCGAACTCCCTCCAGCGAGAAAAAGTTAAAGTCCAGCTCATTTATTCCGTCCTTCATCCAATAATTGGAGAATATGCCTTGCACGACCACAGCTTATCATAGGGTGTATTTGACCTACCTATATAAGGAATATGATACACTTTTTAGAGGAGAGTCTAGAGTCTCTTGTCACACATTGAAAATCATTTTTGGAGGCTATTCTTGGAGAGGAAGAAGAAAGGAAGCTAGAGCAACCATTGGAGGAGATCTTCACCAACAAGGAGCAGCCATGGAGTTAGCCCTTGAGGGTTGGATCATCACTACCATGAGTGGCTAGACATCTTCTTGGGGCTAGAGTTAGCCCCAAGCATGCTTTCTATACTCTAATCTTGTGTATTATTGAGGGATTAGTGTTGTATGATACATCTTGATATTCATGTATATATAAATCTTGATTATTTCATGGTTTGTATGGTTTAATGCTTCCAATTGACTATTCTATTCTACCCATATGTCTATGTATGCTAGAGTAGGTTATTCATTTGCTTATCTCTAGATTTAGTGTTTTTGATGCATGTCTATGTGTATTGATGCTATAGATCTAGAGATTATCAAGATGATATGCTTAATGAATGTTATTTTGGTTCATTTGATGGTTTATGCCTATTATTGATGGTTTGTGCCTCTTCCCTAGTCTAGATAGCTTTATTTTCATGCTAGTAGTGTAGATTTAGTGTAGTGGTAGTGTAATGTTAGATGGGAGGACAATCTACTCTTGATGTTTGATGTTCCATGCTTGTGAGTCCAAATGGCATATTCCTCTAATATTGTGTTGTATGTGGATTGTGAGCTTAATAAAGGATTAATGACTAGTTATGATATGTTGTATCTTTCACATGTGTTTAGACAATTTATTCCTCTCCCAATAGATATTTTGTACCTCTCACATGATGTTTAGACAATGCATGTTTAACTAAGTCATCCTTATGGATTGCTTGGACTATGAGCTTAATGAAAGGTTCAATTACTTGATTTGATATTTTGTTCTCTTCACATGATGTCTAGACAATATATTCCTTTACCAATAGATGTATTGTGTGGCCTCACACATGTTGATTGAGACAATTTGCACTTGTTGAGTCACCCTTACAAATTGAATGTCTTTTACACACACAACATTGTTGCAACACATTCATTTCCCTCATTAGTCACTTGATTATGGTTTGGAATAGTATTGTTTGGTGGTGATCTCTACACCCCAAGACCTTTTCTTCTTACTTACTCTTTATCTTATTGCATTTTAATTAATTCTTTTCTAGAAGTAATCAACCAACCCAACTCTTTTTTGCAATCATTTGGTACGCTAGAGTCGAACTTGAAATTCCAACACGTATAATCCATTGGGACGATCCCTACTCACTCTTGCTACGTTAGTAGTAGTGTTGGTAGTGGTTTTTATAAATTTAAATTTGACATAAAAGGCTTTTCTTGAACCACACATTCACTACATTCAGTTTGGCGTATTACAAGCGACCTCGTCAGATTTTGGCGCCGTTGCCGGGGATCGAACGGTTTTGTTGGAATTAAACTAGACAATAGTGTTCATTAGATTGCTTCTATTTTTATTTTATTTTCCATTGTATATTCTTTTCTCTTGATTCTCATTATTATTTGTTCAATTAGGTACTTGACTACAAGGAAGGCGAACTTTGGAACTTAAAGCAATCATTGGAGCTTAAAAACTAAATTTGGAGTTGAAGTGCTAAAGGACCATTGTGAGCAATTCTTGACACTCTTATATTTTAATTGTTTCACTTCTTTGTATGCTTGTGATAGCCCTTGTTGAGGCCAATTTTTTCTTGCATTTGGGTTTTAATTGTGAATGGAGGAATTGTTTGATCCAAGTTTGGGGGGGAATTACATCCCTTAACCTTATGCTCCTCCATCACATTTCAATCCTTATGAGATTGAGTCCAATTCATTTCATGTATCATCTTATTATGGACTTGATCACTCATTTAATCCTTCTTATGACTATTGCCTTCCACCACCATTTTATGATAAATCAATTCCACCACCTTCTAAGTACTCACCCGGATTTGAAGAAAAAGTGTTAACTTTACTTGATGTGCATATTTCACACACTTCACTTATTAATTCTCATTCTCAAACTTTAGCCAACTTAGAAGCTCAAGTTGAGCAAATTGCAAGTACTCTTTCTCATTAAGAGGAGGAGGAAGAGGCAAATGAAAAAATGGCAAGAACTTCAATGTATATAGATGAGGATGATGAGAGTGAGGAGAATGAAACAAGTGAGTTAATGCCTAGCACTCTATCTTGTATAGAGGAGGAAGTGACAAGTGAGTTAGTGGCTAATCCAATAGAACATAACATGATTAATGAGGACTTTCCTTGTTTTGATTATGATTTTATCTATGATATGGCTACTCTAGATAGTGAGGAGATGTTGACCACACTTGAGGTAGGAGAGAAAGAGGAGGAACTTGTTGAAGAGGGCCTTCCTTCTATTATCTCTAATGACCTTCTTGAGGAGTGTCTTTTGGAAATGTATAAAAATTGTGGTTTTGACTTTAAAAGCTCTAAAAATGAAATAAACTCTCTAATGGACTCCTTAGCTTACTTAGAAGGTGAGGAAATGGTAATTTATGAGGAGGAGAAGAGGGATGAAGAGAGGGTATTTCTTATTAATCCAAATGAGTCTTTGAAAGACAATGCCTCACCAATTATCAATATGGATGATCATTTGAATGTGTTTCAAGAACACAACAAAGAGGCAAGCCTAACCATGATTGATTTTGTTTTCAAGACCGTGGATGAAAGGAACAATATCATCTCTTTTATTTCTTTTCAAGTCATTCTTTTGGAGGATGATTTTATTGCCATAAGTGGGACATTAAATGAGAAAAGTGAAAAGAGGGTCAATAAGGATGTTTCATATCCAGTTTTTGATTCATTTGATTAGTGAGTTGACCTAACGTCTAGCTAGAGACATTAAACACTAGTATTCGTAGAGTCTCACAACTCTATTCCTCCCTCATTTCTTTTTATTTTTCATTCTTGTGTACATTCTTCCATCTATTTTTCAAATTTTCATTCTTGTTACCATCATTGGGGCTTAGCATAGGATTTTCTGCACTTTCAGTTCAAAATTAGGCATTTGGTGCCAGTTCGATCGATCACAAGATCACCTTTGATGATCGAATTATTCTTCGATCGATCCAACTATGGATTCGATCGATCGAACTCCACTTGAGTCCCAACACTTAGAAAAAATTTTGAGCTTTCATCAATTTTGAAAATGTATGCTCTCGGGATCTCCAAATTTTCAAAAGTTCGATCGATCGTAAACCATTTCGATCGATCGAACTACCTTTCGATCGATCCAACATGTGGTTCGATCGATCATGAGTCCCAACACTTAGAAAAATTTTGGACCTGCATCCAAATTCTAAAATGCATGCTCTCGGAATCTCCAAATTTTCAAAAGTTCGATCGATCGTAAACCATTTCAATCGATCGAACTACCTTTCGATCGATCCAACATATGGTTCGATCGATCATGAGTCCCAACACTTAGAAAAATTTTGGACCTGCATCCAAATTCCAAAATGCATGCTCTCGGGATCACCAAAAATTTTACATGTTCGATCGATCGAATTTCATCTCGGATCGATCACAGCTATGTTCGATCGATCGAACTTCATCTTCGATCGATCACAA